ATATATATATATTATATATATATATATGTATATATATGTATATAGGATATATATGTAGTATATATATATGTATATATATGGTATATATTATCATATATATATATATATTTATTATATATATATATATATATAGTATATGTATAATGTATGTATGTATTATGTATGTATGTATATGTATGTATGTATGTATATTATGATGTTGTGTAGTGTGTGTGTGTGTGTGTGTGTTGTGTGTGTGTGTGTGTGTGTGTGTGTTGTGTGTGTGGTGTGTGTATGTATGTATATGTATATATATATGTATACATATACATATATATATATAATATGTATATAATATACATATGTATATATATATATATATATATATATATATATATATATATATATATATATATGTGTGTGTGTGTGTGTGTGTGTGTGTGTGTGTGTGTGTGTGTGTTTGTGTGTGTGTGTGTGTGTGTGTGTGTGTGTGTGTGTGTGTGTGTGTGTGTGTATACATATGCATATACATATACATATACGTGTGTGTGTGCGTGTGTGTATTAAAATGTATATATATGATGATTGTATGTATATCATATTATGTATATCTAAATGTATATATATATATATATATATATATATATATACATATATACGTATTTACATATATACATATAAATTATATATATATACATATATATGTATATATATATAGAGAGAGTGAGGTGAGTGTGTGTGTGTGTGTGTGTGTGTGTGTGTGTGTGTGTGTGTGTGTGTGTGTGTGTGTGTGTGTGTGTGTGTGTGTGTGTGTGTGTGTGTGTGTGTGTGTGTGTGTGTGAGAGAGAGAGAGAGAGAGAGAGAGAGAGAGAGAGAGAGAGAGAGAGAGAGAGAGAGAGAGAGAGAGATTTGAAGGCAGGTAAGTAGAGGAGAGGCCCAAAAGGTGCTTCCTGTGCAACGAAGAGCCTCTGCTGTGGCACCTGGTTTGCTGTTGCATTTTTAAAGATATATTTCGTGTTATTATTAGGTCCGTATTTCGAACATAAGGGACCTACGGTATTTTTTTTTTTTTTTTTTTTTTTTTTTTTTTTTTTTTTTGTCTGCTTTCATATCGTGTTCAGGACAAGTTTACAGCCATAGACTGACCCAGACATCTTTTTTCATGATATTTGTTTATGGGACAGAGTTATTGACGATATCCACAAACATTATAAACCGCTGGCACCTTTTTACCTTTTTTTCATAAACCCTGATTTTGTGACAGCAGTTTGACCCGAGGTTGTGCATCTCACCTCTCTCTCTACAGGATGTTGTAGAAGGAATGTAGTCTTGCATTTTGATAACTACAGAATGTCGTAGAAGTTACTTCACGTGTGTGGAGGAAAAACTTGATTGGTATGTTAGATCTTGTAACACTCTTCTTTCAAAGTAGCAGATGTATTAACCAATGTAAGTGACTGTGTATTGACTGCCACTTGTCCTCTTAGGGGCGGTGTGAGTCCCGCAGAGGGTCCCACTCCCCCTGCCCCCCCGCCGCCGCCGCCACAGCAGCAGCCACAACCCGACGGCTACTGGAATATGCACCTTGAGGTGCTCAGGTCAGGCTCCCCTGCCACGTGCCTGTATCTGCTACTCGGCTTTGTGGAGGTTCCCTCTGTGCTCGTGACCCGCTCTGCCCCGCACCTTACCGCTTGGCCCTTGCTTCCGCTTCTCTTTTCCGCTAGCAATGCCACCTCCCCCTCCGCCCGAAGCCCTCCGCGAAGGGGGCGACTCCGCTCGCTTGGGCAGATCGACTCGGAAGGGAATTTCATGTCTTCTGCCTGAAACAGACGGTGTTCGAGGGAGACCGCGCTCTCCACCGAGCTGACGTTTACAATAATGCCGCAGGAGGTAGACTAATGACGTTAGGTCAGGGGATGGGTTATGTCGAGGTGTTTCGTTAGGTTGGGGTCTCGGATCGACGGTCGCGGCCGTGCTGGCGATCGCTTTGAAGAGAAAAGTATAAAAAATAGGTGTAGGAGAAACATCCAGAGTTATGATTACATTATATCAGCACACACACACACACACACACACACACACACACACACACACACACACACACACACACACACACACACACACACACACACACACACACACACACACACACACACACACACACACACCACACACACGATTGACATAGATGCGAAGAAGGGATAACACGAGAGGATAAGGAAACATGTCCTTTTAGTCTTAATTCGGCAGAAAATGCTATGCCACGGCGACTCGCGCTGGCGTTCCGGTAATTAAATTCATATTTAAAAGTAAGCGTTGATAGTATGTAAAAATAGTAATAATTAAAAGAGATACTATACGCATAAGAAGTTTATTGCGTAGAGTGGAGTTTTGTGCCATTTTATCAATACGGTCGAGTGCTTTGCCATTCTCGTAATGCTCGGGGTGTGCAGGTATTATTTCCTGGTGTGCTTTTCGTTCACTTTTGTTTGAAGTGACATAGCATATCTGTCGCGGCATTATTGTAAACAAGAAAAAAAAACAGGAAAGAAAATAAGAGAAAAACAACACCATTTTACTGTTATTTTCTTCTGCTTGATTTTCTTTCTAAACGTTATGTGTGGACAGGTAGCTTTTTTTCTCTTTCTCTCTCTTTCCCGCTTGTAGATTTATATATATATATTTTTTTCTATAAATATCTGTCTACGGCACTAGCATTAAACTGTATATTTAATCTGTATCTTCATTTATTAGCAACACCCTCTCACATTTGTTGTTTTATGTATGTTAAAATCACTAAAACCACTTGTGGTATGAGTGACACTGTAAAAATAAATAGAAAAATAAATAAATAAAATAATGGAAGGTAATTTCTAAAAGGTGTGGATTGCAATGAATTATACAGTTATTTGTGTGTGTGAAGCATGATTGACCTCACGCATTTATTTTTGATTAATGAGACTCGTGTTTACAATGATGTTGTTAAAAGATGCCATCAAAATTAAATTATCTTGTCAGTGTGTCAGCTGCTGGCGTATTTAAATGGCGGTGACTCCTTATTAAGAGTACAATCATCCTATCATACAAAGAATCAAGAGCATTTTAATCGTTACACGTATCAGTACTTGGCCCATCATTAATGCTGTAATCTAGTGTATTATTTAAAACAGATGAGTGCTAATTGAATTTTTATATGACAGAGGTGAATGATTATCTATAATTCAATCATTTTTAATGAGTATGGCTTATTAGACCTGCATTGGGGGTTATCGCTTTGGAAATGGATTTTGCTTTTTCATTTGGGGTTAAGGCTTTTAAGTTGAGTGTGGCTTTTTCTTTTTTTCTTTTTTTCTTTTTTTGACACTGGAATTTCATAGTACTGTAGATACACGTTAAGTTTGGCCCGAGGAAGTGTGTATGCTGAGAGCACCCCTTGCCTTTCCGTATCTGCAACATCATGTGCAGCGAACTTTCAATTGCAGAAACGTTCTTTCAGTCATGATCACTTCCTTATTAGTATGGGATGATTTGGCAAGAATAAGAAGCAGTAAAAAAAACACAAAAAAAAGGGGGGGCATTTCATGGGTTTTAAAAGGCTGAATTTGGCGTGGCATTAACTTGTCAAATCATCTTAGATCTATAGAGGTTTATGCCACTCGATGTATATATTGAGCAGTTGAATAGTTTACTGCTTTGGAAATGTGTATCACCAATGATTTTCTGGATTTCTTTTTTATGATAATCTGCCTTTGCTTTTTCAGGATTTTGTAGATGTGATGTTTTTTTTTTTTTTTTTTTTTTTTTTTTTTTTTTTTGGGGAGTGGGTTTTTTTTTTTATGAAAATATTTGCTTTATCAGATGAAAAATGCCCTCTACAGTTTTCAAAATTTCTTCTGCTCTAGAAAGTCAATATATTCAGAGCTTCTATTGATTGCATTTCTCCAGCAAGAAAGAAAAAGTTGTATGATATTTTTGCAATATAAATATATCAATTAAATGACAAGAATTTCAGTAGCAGCTTTATAAGAATGTTCTGCTTGTATGTATTTTCCTCATTTGAAAACAGATTTTAAGGAGTGTGATCATTATTATTATTTTTATTGTTATTATTATTATTAATATTATTTATTATCTATTTATTTATTTTATTTATTATTATTATTATTGTTATGATGATTATCATTATTAGTGTTATTATGATTATTATTGTTATTATAATTATTATTGTTATTGTTATTATGATTTATTTATTGTTATTATTATTGTTATTATTATTATTAAGTTCATTAAGCAAAAGAATAGATTTTTTCTTGTATTATCTGTTGGTTTTGTTAACTTGTTAGATGTGATTCTAAAGCAATCTCGTCTTATATATAACCTGACTGGCTGTTTTCGTGTCTTTTTTTTTTTTGATACAGGTTTTGGAAAGCATCTTGAGATCTTTCATATCAGCAGCTTGGAAGCGAATTTCTTTGATTTTTTTTTTTTTTTTGTAGATGAGAAGTCATGTCTATAAATCATTTAGCTCATAGTGAATGAATATCTTGTAATAACTCTCAATCATGAAACTTATTTACAGCCAATCTGTAATGAAGTGTTTCGGGCACTTCAGTGACAGCTTCAGGTTTAGATCAAATCGCATTATTAATACTCTCATAAATTCTTTGTCCACTTAATCGGATTTGAAACATTCTGTATCCACCTCTTGCATTTCTTGCTTTTGTGATACTTATTTATCAGATTTCATTGTGATTTAGGGAATTTAGAACTGATATCAGATTTTTTTTCCCATGTATATTCAAGATTTATATTTCAGGTAATGTTTCATTGTTTTGTAGAAAATCTTCAATTTATTCCAAAGCTTTTTACCATGCAGATGCTCTTCTTTCACAGGATAAACAAGAATTTCCTATCATGCGTTTTAACTCTTCATGGAGATGGAGCAATGCAATTATATTACAACTGACTGTATTTACCAATAAAAAACAAAATATAAAAAGGAAACTGAATATAAGATTGGGCAAAGTACATAGAAGGGCATGCAAAAGTGATTATTTTAACATGTAATATAATTTTATGGTGGCTAAGGTATCTAATATTTGTCTATTTTTTCCTGTACAGCAAGTTGAAGGGTGAGGGTAAGGACTGGTATGAGGGAGACAGCCTGGATGGTATAGGACAGGCCGGAGCCCTAAAGCAAGAGCCAGACCCGTATGCTCCTTACTCTCACCTCCACCAACACCACCCCATGACCCCAGAATCCATGCATGGACCCTCACTCAATGGACCACACAACGGACCACATAATGGACCACATAACGGACCACTCACTGGGCCTCACAACGGATCTCACATGGGGTACCCGCCTCTCCAGCAGCAGACCCAGCAGCATCAGCACTATCAGGGCTACCAGAGTCACCCTGGGATGGGGGACATGTCTCCCATGTCGCCCAACTACCAGGGACACCCAAGACCTCCACCTCACCCGCAGCAGCACATGAATCAGCAGCACATGGGTCCGCAGCATATGGGTCAGTACCCTGACCAGCAGCATATGGGTCACCCACACCCTGGCCAATACCCAGGCCAGCCCATGGGAGGTCACATGGGCCAGGGCTTGCCAGGTCAGGGCCATCCGGGGCATGAAGGGCCTCCGGGACGGGAAGGGGACCCATACAGTTTTGTGGACGAGTACAGCGGTCCGCCTCCTAGACCAGTCGAGGAGATTCTTGGCCAGACGCAGCCCAAGAGAAGAGGGCGTAAACCAAAGCACATAAAGCTTATGGAAAATGGGTGAGTTGCTTGTTAGTTGTGCAATAGATTTCCATGTAGATGCTTCTTACTTTTTTTTCCTTTTTTTAGTTGAGTTTAGCTGAAGCAAGGCATTGTTGATAGTAGAAATTATTGTGCTTTATGAAACTTTTTTGAGATATATTGATAAGGGTAGAATGTATTTCCTGAAGGATAACTCATCTTTTGGAGTTCCAAATTCTCAAGAAATGGGTCGTACAATACTAGTTGTTAAGTACATTAACCATATAATTTTTTCTCTTTTAAGTGGATATATTATTGATCTAAATGAAGTTATATATTCTTGATATAGTCATTAACAATAGATTTAACAATTTCACCACTCTATAACTCAATTGTCTTGTCACTTAGTAGGATTTATCCCCCTCACATGATTTTTACTTGATTCTAAGTTATTAAAGTATATGAATTTATTATCCCTCTTTGTATGATCTTAAATTCTGGCTGATTATAGGTATATTTAGAAATTGAAGGCTTTGAAATTGGTTGGTGATGATTGATGTCGGTGATTATGTTAGCTCTCACTTATAGCTTACTGCAAGAAGGGGATTAGTTAAAAGTCGAGTACAGTTTGTTTGTTCTTGAAAGCATTTTGTAAATGTGAGCGAATCTTGCAATGCTGGATTTAACGTGTGGGGGTGATTGTTGAAAAGATAATTGCCGCTGAAACAAAATGGTGAGGAAAATCAGTAATGCAAATATTGATTCAAAAGTGATCTCTTTTTTATCTTATTTTTTTGGCTCAGGAAAAAGATTAAAAGTTGAGTTTATAATTAAAAGTGTTGTTCTTTGGATCAGGTCATATTACCCACACAGATAGCCCATTTTTTTTTAGCACATGAAAATTCTTAAATTGTGATGAAGAGCTGCTGTTTTTGGTGACAGATGTGTATATTTATTTATTGTTTTTTTTTCATTATTTTGGTAATTCAGCACTTGCCTATGGTGAAGTCTTAAAACCTGTGAAAGGTTACCTAAAAGTGTCTCTTAGAAATAGTCAACATTTTGGTTTCCCAAAAGTTACAGATAAAAGCAAAAAATCACAAACTAAATGCCTTTTTTTTAAATGTACATTTTTGAATACCATTTGGACTAGCTTCTATTATCTACTTTAAAGTGTTTTATTAAGTACGCAAATGATTAACCTTTTTAGAGGTGAAGAAAAAGTGTGAACTTTGGATATGCATTTTGTTTTGATTTAAAGTGTATTTTTACTGTTTGGCAAACTCATGGATAATATTTTATTGTTAATATCCTTTGCTTTATTCATAATGTGTCTTTAGTTATGTTTTAAAATCCTCTGATATATCCTGCCCACCCCCCCTAATCTAAAACAAAAAAGAAGAGTTTTTGGTGTTATTTGATGAAATCACTAAATGTTATTTCTCAGATTTAAGCTTTATATTCAAGGAGTAAAAGGAGTTGTTGGTTTCTTGATCCTTTGGTATAACAACATATATTTTTTGTATCATACTATAAGAATATTATAAGACAGATGATTAGCGTAATAATATCTTATACTTGTCTTCTTTTTTATCATTAAGATCATTGTTATATTATTGATTACTTTTCTGTTTGTATTTTCTTGATATCATTGCATGTTCCAGTTAATGCACTTTGAAGAAAAACAATTTTTTTTATAAAGAGAAACAAAGGTTGATGCATAATATAAAACATTTATGGAGAGCTCAAGCAAAGAGACCAAGAATAACGAGGCTAAATCTTTTTGAGAAGCCATATGGATGTCTATTTCTAAGTGGGGGAGGGGGAAGGAAGAGACAGCGATGAGACGCCATTCTCAAAAAGACAAAAAAGGAGGAGAAAACATTAAACTGTGCTGGTTTTAGAGGCTTTGTTTTTCACCTTCATTAAGTTTGATCTTACACTGCACCATATACACTGGACTGCTTAATAAACAGCCAATGAGAAAGATTCTATTCATAGTGCTGTGCCGTGGTATGATGACTGCAGTGTGCACGCCACGACAGCTGCAGGGGTACACGAAACACCTGATGCAATCAGTATAAGGTATGACTTGATGAATGGGAGTAAAATTTGATTCAACTAAGGGCATAGACTTATTGTAAGGTAAAGGAAAAGAAAAAAATAATTATCTGAGTTAGATGATATGAACTGATGTAACAATACTATGCCACTTGAACTTTTGTGCAATGAACAAAATTTCATTAAAGTCATTGTCCTAACTGAAAGATTATTTTAAATGTGTTCTGCTATATATGAATGATAAAACACAAAAGTGCTCAGTATTTGCATTATATTGAGTGCTCACCAAGAAGCCTGTGGAGTGAAGTGCAAGTCCAATGTATTTCGTAATTGGCCCTTTACAATATCCGAAATAAGAGTACCAGAGATTTTTCTAAATTATATAAAGAGAGACTTGTTCGATATTTTTGGGAAGAATTTTTTTATTTTTTATTTTTGTAAGTAGAAAACATCCATGACTTTTTTCTCTCAAAATCTTGGAAGACACGGGTTTTGATTCTTGCAGTTTTTCATAACCAGTGCAATACTTCACTGATATCTTACTGGATCAGATATTTCTAGAATAGTTAAGGATAGTGGAATAGTACTAGCTTCAAATTAGATGGCAAAACTAGACAGGGAAAGCATTTGTAGATACTGATTGAAAAGATAATGAAGATGCTTAGAGAAATCAAACAGATAACGTGATAGATGAAGAGATGAACTCACCGGCTTGTAAAAGACTCATTCCAAAGTCATCCTTGCTTCTTAAAAAAGCCCAGTGCTCGTAGGATAGGTAGAGGAAGATTTTATAGTAGGAATTGTGTGAGGGGCCTTGTTTGTAGATGAATTCACATCATGTATGTAAAGTCTCACCAAGATTTTGTTGTTTTTTGTACAAAGCTGTTTAAAAGAATCGCTTTAGTGCCCATTTTCTCTCAGTTTATTGCATCATAAAGCACATTATCAGCTGAAATTTGTAGATGCAGAAACCAAACTTTTTATATGCAGAACTCTACTTCCATTTCAGACATGTATACTACTCCAGTGAAGGTTAGAAATTGATCAGGGAAAATCAGAATTCACCTAATCAATAAATTAACTTCACATCTTAAAGAAATATTGATAATGGAATGCTTTTGGATCTTGTTAACTGAACAGAATGATGAAAGTTTTTGCTAAAGTTTAAATGTCATAGTTGGGTTACCATTTTTCCCTTCATATTCTATTCTATTGGCTATATTAATGTAAGCATAGAGTGTGGTCACACTTTTTCAAAATTCTAATATTGATGATGATATATCAGCAAATCTCTATATATAAATCCCAAACTAACTGTGACAGATTGCAGGTCTGTTGTGCCAGTATCTCACGCCCATTTTCTTTGCAGCGGGGACCCATTAGCAATAGCTGCTGCTCAAGCTGCCCACGAAGCCAAGAAGCGCAAGTGGAAGCAATTAGGACCTGATGGCAAACCAGTCCTGTCGGTGGTCAAACAGCGGAAAAAAGTTGACCGATTTGATGGTATCCCGGAGGACGAAGTGACCAAGAAGACGTTACCCGACCACCTAGGACCTAACCTGGATATAGTCATTGTGAGTATTATGGAACAGGATCAGGCACTGCCTTTAAGGTTTTCCCCCCAACCCTCTAATAAGCTCATTCTTGCCAGTCTATGGTTGTCATGTCTAAGATTGCTTGTTATCCATGAAATTTAAGATTGCCTATTATCCATGAAATTTATAGTTCACTAATATTCAGTTTCTTCAGAAGTGTTTTTGTTTTTTCCTTACATGGACTGGACAGTTAGCTTTGGGGTTGATATGTAGCACTGGACAGCCTCATTGTATTTATATAGTAGTAAAATTAAATCTAAATACATTTGTAAACAAAGTTAAAAGCAGGTTAGGGCAACTTCCCAGAGAACGTCACGTATATCATAGAACTATATTGGATGACAATTTCTTTGCCGTAATCAGACACAAAAGAGATTCTGATTAAACAAAATCATAAGTTCCAAATTCATGCATGAGTGCATACTACTGCTAATTATCAGTGAGGCTGCAGCAGCTGCCTGCATCAAGCCAACCAATGGGCCCGTGCCCGGATGAACAGTTTAATCATGGTAACATGAAGATTTCTAAATTCCCATTCCAGATTGGAATAAATCCAGGTTTATTTGCGGCTTACAAGGGACACCATTATGCCGGCCCAGGAAACCACTTTT